AAAAAAAAAAAAATCTCCAAAGATTGAAAGCAAAACTAGTATCTTCAGCTTACTGAACAGAACAGGATTTGAACATAGTCTGGCTTCAGAGACCATGTTTTGTTTTGTTTTGTTTTGTTTTGTTTAGATTTTATTTATTTGAGAGAGAGAGAGATAGAGATACTGAGAGAGCACAAGTGGGGAGGAGAGGGAGAAGCAGGCTCCCCACAGAGCAGGGAGCCCAATGCGGGACTCGATCCCAGGACCCTGAGATCATGACCTGAGCCGAAGGCAGACGCTTAACCGACTGAGCCACCCAGGCGCCCCAGAGACCATGTTCTTAACTACTATAGTATATTGAAATTAGGTAAAATAAAACATAAGTGAAACTTTTGTTGAAGTATTAAACCAAATATTTTCAGCTGTGCTTGGCCTCGTCCTCCTTCTATTCCTGTCCCTCCTTCATTGTTGTCTTTGGTAACAGTACTTGAGCACTTAGCCAGGTACTGTGACTGTTACATTATTTAATTCTCACAATGCAGCTGTGAAGTAGCTACCAAAATTATTCCCATTTTTTTGTGTGGGGAAACTGAGGCATGTGCAGTTATTAACTTTGCCAAGATCACCTAGCTAGTCAGTGCCAGAGCCTGAATTCTTTGGAATAATCTGAGCTTTTTCTCTGGTTTTATTTACAACTGGTGTTTATTCAAAACTCATTCTTAAATGTTGATATAAGTGAAATCACAAAGTAAGAAATGGAAAATCTGCCAGCAACCACAAAATGGATGACTGGTATCTTTTCCTGGTTAGGAAATTCAGCCCATATAACAAAACAGGTTGTGCTCATCTCGTATGATCTCTTCTGGTACTTCTCAGCAGATTAGAAAAAAACCAACTTTCCAAATGTGTTTTCCTAATGCAAATATATTTTTATGTGACAAGGAAAAAGTATTGCTAGTCATTTTTTTTTCTTTCATTTTTTAGACGTACCTCTTAACATCTCAGAATACTAGGATTTCTTAGAATATATTGTGGAGGTTGAAATCATGTTCATCAGGTCAGCATCCTTCCTTGAAACTTTCCCCCACAGTCCCAAAGGAGTTAAAGAAAAGTGGTCTAGCTCCTAACATAGATAAAATATAGTTGACCTTTGAACAACATGGGGGTTGGAGGCTTTGATCCCCGCATAGTTGGAAATCCACATATAACTTTGTTCCCCCCAAACATAACGAATAGCCTACTGTTAACTAGAAGCCTTACTGATTAAAATATAAACAGTTGAGTAACACATATTTCATATGCTATGTGTATTTTATGTTATATTCTTACAATAAAGTGAGCTAGAGAAAAGAATTTGTTAAAGTCATACGGAAGAGAAAATACGCTTACAATACTGTACTTATTTACTGAAAAAAATTCACATGTAAGTGGACTTGTGAAGTTCAAACCTGTGTTGTTTAAGGGTCAACTGCAATTTAGTACTTGATATTCTGTCTTCAGTCAACATTTTTTCTTAGAATATCTTCTCACCACTATAAAATTGCAAATGTTTGAAGAGCAGAGAGTGTCTCTCATATTTTTTCTTTTTCCTAATATGTATGATATAACTAGGCAGAAAAGTTGTCCAGTAGCTAACTGTATGAGCTGGATGATTTATACCCTGGTGTAATTACTTATGCACAGTGTTGGGGTTTTTTTCCCCCCATAGTGTGAATAGCATAGCCCTTTACCCCTAAAGCCAGCTAAGTAATGGCATGAAGATTTAGCAAGATTATTTTTGTGTCATTTCAGGATTCAGTGACTTTCACAGATGTGGCCATAGACTTCTCCCAAGACGAATGGGAATGGCTGAATCTTGCTCAAAGGACTTTGTATAAGAAAGTGATGCTAGAGAACTACAGGAACCTGCTTTCATTGGGTAAGAGTATCTTCCTCCTCCCCATTTTGGAGTCTTTTCACCTCAGTAGTCTTTTTTATGCCTTTATCAGCATTTCCCTACAATATCCCTTTTCTCTCAATACCATTTGGATTGGGTCATAGCTCTGCAATATCCACAACCTAGCCAATTTTCTTATCTTTTCTTATATGCAGGTCTTTGCATTTCTAAACCAGATGTGATTGCCTTATTGGAGCAAGGTAAAGAGCCTTGGATGATGAAAGGAGAGATGACAGGAGGCCTCTGTCCAGGTAAGTGCAGATTAACTAGAGTTGGGGAAACTATTCTCAAGATGTTTCTTCTCTGAAAAAAAAAAAAAAGATGTTCCTTCTCTGATACTTGTTGGAAAACACCTCTCAAAATCCGTCTCAAATTGCAACTTTTTGTTCTAACACTATATTTTATTTTATTTTATTTTTTAAA